GCCCCCATTGGCTAATTGGGTTTTTGGGCTCAGAAGAGAAAAGAACATTTAAAGAAAATGTGTAACTGGAGCTTCCGGAGACTTTCACAATAATTTGTGTAGCATTTATAAACAGAGAATCTACCTTTCTTATTTATCTAAACTCCAAATTATGACCAGCCTCTGGCCAACAGCGATATCACGGTCGAAACCGCAATGAAGATCACAAGGCTATCTAGGAAAAATAGCTCCTCTATGACCTTGGTTCCATGCCCAATCTCTTCTCCTTTTTGTTTAATCTAAAAGAAAAACAGAGGGAAAAGCGGCTGGAGCAGGATGCCAGATCTAGGAAGTAAATCTTCCACAGTCATAAGCAAACTAGGTTTCTGTTTCCTGTTGGGAAAGCAGCCAATGACTCAGGAATCTGGGATCCCCCAAACAGGAGCATCCTTAATGAGTGTTTAGTGTATTTTTTGATGCAGACCAGACCTGGAGCTGGCTTTGTTTTAATTCTGATGGAGGGCTAAATGGGTGCTGTTGTAGACGGGATTATTTCTCAAATGATTCTTCAAGGATGGGCCATACTGTCGGTTAAGTCAGTGGGCTGCTGTCTCTGAACCTGTCCTAGGGCGTCTGAATCCTGAATAGTTTCCATAACAACATACAGTCTCCAGTCTAGACTTAGCCTTAACATTGTCTGGTACCATTTTACTGGTTTAGGTTCAATTCCCTTTCATGTTACCCAGAGTAGCTACTCTAATCCTCCAGCTTTTCTTTCTTTCTTTCTTTCTTTCTTTCTTTCTTTCTTTCTTTCTTTCTTTCTTTCTTTCTTTCTTTCTTTCTTTCTTTCTTTCTTTTGTCTCTCTGTCTGTCTGTCTGTCTGTCTGTCTGTCTGTCTGTCTGTCTGCCTGCCCGCCTGCCCTCCTGCCCGCCTTTCTCCTTCCTTCCTTCCTTCCTTCCTTCCTTCCTTCCTTCCTTCCTTCCTTCCTTCCTTCCTTCCTTCCTTTACCTGACTAGATCCATTTCACCTTTAATGGGTGGTCATTCTCCCTACTTCACAGAAAACAGAGATACTCACTGCTCAGATAATAATACATAATATGCATTGTGTCTGAAATGCAAGGTAGTGTTTTGTTGTTTTTACAAAAGATCTCATTAATTTCAACATCATTTGTATGTAATCTCACTATTCTCTCCTCTCAAGAGGGTATGAAGCCTTAGACAGGGCTGAAACTTAGGTCTCAGGAGCAGCTGATCCTCTGCTGTTTATAACTGTAAGCCTCTTTCTCTAGAAAACAAAATATATGCAAACAACAATTAATATAAATCAAATCTTTTTGAACTACTCTAGATATCTTTTAATAAGGAGAAAAGATTTAAATATAAAATTATTTGGAAAGTTAATAGAAATTGAGTTCAGGTGTAAATAGTTACTATGGATATGCTTCTGCAAGCAGATTTTAATGAAGGTGGAAATGTCAGGGATATAGCTAAGATGAGGAGAGAATAGGATGGGAGACAACTTCCAGCAATATATGACAAGAGGTAGGTAGGGGAACAAATACAAACACTGAACAACAATGTTATTGAGTCTTAGCCCTCTCCATCTATAATGTCCTGTGCAGGACAACTTAGGAAAGAAGAAGAAATAAAGAACCAAGCCAGTGCGGCATGGGAGAGCATGCCTGCAATCCTGACTCTTAAGAGGCTGAGGTGTTACACATTCAAGTCCCGCATGAGCAATTATCAAGACTCTCAAATTTTAAAAAATTTGAAAAGGAGGTGGTTGATTCAACTCAGTGTAAAGACCTAGGGGTTAAGCCCAAGTACTACAAACACCAACCAAAAAAAAAAAAAAGAAAGAAACCAAGCCATTTATGTTTTTAAAAAAGGAATATTTTAGCTGCTGTCTTGGTTTTTGTGAATGAAGCTTGAATTCTTTTTTTTTTTTAATGCTTAACATGTACTTTAATAAGTTAATGCTGTATTACTATTTCATTTCTCAGAAAAACTCCAAATTTAAGCTATCAGGGATAAATCAAACATGGTACTCCAATAAAAAATGCACAGCATAACTACATAAGATAGGCGAGGCTAAGAGCTACTGTCAGACCTGCAGCATACAGCAACTCTATTCCCAAGACTGTACTAGGCCTATCAAGAAAGGCTGTGAACAACAACAACAGAAAGACAAAAGTGTCATTTCTGGGATGTCCTTACCCAAGGAAAAGATGGAGGCAAGTTAACATGAGATTTTTATTTTTATTCTTTTTATTTTTTATTAATTTTATTGAGAACAAATAGTAATAAGACAGTTTCAAAATCAATTAATAGGACAGTTTCAATAATTAATACATTGCACATTGTTATCTTTTTAGTAGTTATTCATAGTACAATATGCAGACAAGATATCTTATCTCAAACACTAGTAGAACAAATCTTTCTTCTCATTGAATTAAGGGAAAGTAGCTGTATACCTATCCTATTTTGTATATACAGATACAAAGTGATCCTTCATTTGTATCCCCTTTTATTGTTTGGTTTTGTCAGAGATGGGCATTCCACTGCCATTTAAATATTGTAGGTGCATAAATTCAACAATGTAATCCAATATAATCCAGTAGTGCATAATAGTAGTGGGTTATCCGTAGGACTGTCAATGTCAGAAGTTGTTGTCTTGAGCCCTTTATAGCTCAGCATATTAGCATAGCTTTACTTTTTATACTTCATTTTTATACTTTTCTCCTGGATGGTTAAGGCCAAGATAAAGCAAGACCGATATAACAAAAAATGTAACTTTTGTATCTGCCAAGGCCAGTCAAATCCCCTCAGGATTTACCCTGAAACCCTGTACTGCAGTTTGTAGATCCTTTGTCAGTGTCAGTCATGTGGATGAATCACGGCCATTGCTTGACTAATTTGCTCTCTGTGAAAGCCTGAGAAAATGTTTTCTCTCTAGGAGACTCTTCTTAAGCATACTGCACATCATTGATCACTTTCCTTTGTGGCCCCATAATCTCCTTGATCAGAAAATTTGGGACACACTGAGGTACAGGATGTTACAGTACAGGTTCTCTTATGTTCTGAGTCCTCACTGACCTTGAAAGGCTAGGGCCAAAATGTTGGCTGTCCCTGTAGCCCTTCTTTTCCTCTAATTTTTGGTCTGCAAACTTAAGTTGTTAACCCTCTAGAAGAGAAGATTAGTGATATTATTAACATATAATATAGGCAGTTGAGCTTAACTTCACTATTTGTCTGAATATCACATCTTAGACATAGCATGGAACAAGTATTTTCCATCAAGTATTGCTATGTTAAACTTTAAATCGCTACAGAATATGAAGAAAAAAAGAAAAAATAAATATTAAAAAAATTGGAATAAACAATTACATATTTTTTACACAGAAATTTAGAAATCTAACCATATACAGCCTTGAAGCAGGACAGTCCTATGACACTTTCTTTTCTTGTCTCTTGTTTTCAATTATTACCCTTTTTAAAAAACAAACATTTACTTGAGAGACAGTATGGCAGTAATTGATATGACATGACAAGCAGTACGGATTTAGAAGACCAGAATGGCAGGCATTCCAAGCGTGACCCTACTATTACACATTGCTATTCAGTGCAGTTTGTTAGTTCCAGGTGTCAGCACATATAGTCGGTCAGGGTGAGAATCCTATCAATCAACTGCTAGTTTCAAAAACCTGCTGAAGATTCTCAGGATCATTGCCTTAACCATCTTGTGCATATAAATGTATGGTTTTGCCCCTGTCATGTTTCCTAGCTTTCCTCTTTGCCCTCTCTTCATTGTCTAATCCTTAAGTTCTCACTTTCCTTTTAACTGTGTTATACTTTTCTATTTTTATTTCTTTTTTGAGTTCTTGCACTAGGGAGACAATATGAAATCTACACATGTGGGTGTGGTTTATTTCACATATGAATATATCTTCAAGTGGCATCCACTTCAAAATAAATGCTTTGAGTTTATCATTCTTTATAGCTGAGTAATATTCTATTGTATAAAAATACCACACCTTTTTCATCCATTCCTCAGGTGATGGGCATCTCAGTTGTTCCTAAGATTTGACTATCATAAATTGTGATGCTATAAACATAGGTGCACATATATCACTATGATATGACGTTTTCAGTTCCTCTGGGAAAATTCCCAGTAGGGGGATAGCTGGTTTGAATGGGATTTCTAGTCCAACTTTTCTAAGGAGTCTTCACACTGATTTCCATAATGGTTGCACCAGTCTACATTCCCACCAGTAGTGGAGAAGAGTTCCCTTTTCCCCACAGCCTCTCCAACATTTGTTGTTGATTGATTTCTTTAAGATAGCCATTCTTTCTGGGGTGAGATGATAGCTCGGTGTTGTTTTAATTTGCATTTCACAGATGGCTAGTGTTATGGAGAATGTTTTCATATATTTATTCACTTTTCTAATTTTGTCCTCTGAGAAGTAAAATTTTTTAAAGATATACTAAAATGAAAATCTGTAAGAGAAAATGTCTTTAGCACATGAAAGGGTAATCTATGGGATGTCTGTGTCCTCTGTGGGCATTTGCCTGAATTCTCACCTGGAGCAATTGGAGCAATGGGGTTAAGGTCACTGGGAGATGTTTGGTTTTTGTGGTTTATCTGATGGCAGTATTTCTGGGTGTGAGGATGTGTAGAAAGCAAATAAAGCATGATTGACAAAAAAACCCCAGAATGCTCAAGATCAATGGGACTCTAAGGAATCATTCTGTCATGGTTCCTCCAAGCCTTCAATAATTCATTATATTTGAAATTTCAGGAATGTGTCACACAGAACTGATTAAACAAGCTACACAAAATTTGTTAAATATCACCCCTCCCTTGCCCTTTGCCCCCAGCATACTTCCTTAGAGTAGTACAGGCAGGGAAGACCTAACTATTGGGAGGAATCCCTAAAACTTTTTAAAGGTAGAATTCTGACTAGTCCAAAAGGGTTCTTTCTTTTAAGGGTTTCAGGAAACTAGACACTGCAACTTTATTAGTATTGGCAATGTTTGTTTGGGGAAAATCAGCTCCATGAGCTGTACGGTTGAAAGCAAGAAGGGTTCCACCAATTGCCCCAATTCCTTCCATTGTAGCAGCCTGGCCAAAGCATTCATTTGTTGGTGGCATCAATCCCAAGGTTCCATTGGGCATCCTGGTGGCAGGTCCTGGAGGAGCTGGGCCCCTGAGCAGGGGGTATGGTGCCTCTGTTGTTTATGCCTGTAGCACCTCCCATAGCCATTTGGCCCATCCATTTCTATTGATCTCACACATCAGGAACGGTTCCCTTGAATCCTTCCTGCTGTAGCCACAAATCTCTTCTTGTTGCCACCGCATTTCTTCTTCTTTTTTTTTTTATTTTTTCCCATAATTTTATTGATAAGCAAATAGCAATGAGACAGTTTTAAATCAAATTGGTAGGACAGTTTCAATAATTAACACATTGCAAACATTCTTCCTAGTGGTTAATTGCTGTACAAGATGTGGATGTGGTAACCTATTTACAAGCACCGCTAGAACAAATCACTCTATTCATTAATGTAACTATATATCTATTCCTAACCACTTTGAATACATAGATACAAAAAGGACATTCATCTGTATCCCCCTTTTTTTGTTAAGTTCTGTTATTTGAATATTATAGGTGTGTAAACTTAGTAAAATATTCTAAAAGAGTCCAATAGCTCATAATAGTATTGGGTCTTCCATTTCACTGGCAATGTCAGAAATTGTTGATCTGAGTCCCCTACAGCGCAACATAACAGCATGGCTTTACTTCTTATATTTCATTTTTATACTTTTCTGCTGGATGATTAAGACCAAGGTAAAGCAGGACCTATGCAACAAGAGTTGTAGCTTTTGAGTCTGATAAGGTCAGTGAAATCCCCTCAGGATTTATCTTGAGATCTTGTGCCTCAGATTGTAGAACCTTTGTCCGTGTCAGGCATGTGGATGAGTCACGGCCATTGCTTGGCCAATGTGTTCTCTGTGAAAGCCTGAGAATGTTTTCTCTCCATGTGACTCTCCTTAGGCACACTCTACATCATCAATCGCTTTCCTCTTTGGCCCTACAATCTCCTTGATCAGAAAATTTGGGACACTACTGAGTTACATGACGTTACAGAACAGGTTCTCATATGTCCTGAGTCTTAATTGACCTTAGAAGGCTAGAGCCAAAATGTTGGCTTTCCTTGCAGCCCTCCTTTTTCTCTAATTTTGGTCTGCAAACATAGGTTGCTAGCCATCCAGAAAACAAGCTTATTGTTATTACCATACAACTTAGGCTGTTAAGCTTAACCTCACTATCTGTCTGCATATCAAACATCGTAGGCATAATATGGAACAGGTATTTTTCATCGAGTATCGATATGTTGAACTTTAAGTCCCTACAGAATATGATAAAAAACATTTAAAAATTAGAATATATTTTAAAAATAGGCATAAAGAATTCTATGCTTCTTATGTTTACACATAAGTCCAAAAATCTCACCATATACAACCTTAAAGCAGGACAGTCCCACAGTATTCCTTTTCCTGTCTCTTGCTTTCATTCACCACCCCATTCTTCTTGAACAACCTTCTACCTGAGAGACATCATAGCAGCAACTGTCATGTCATGACAAGCAGCCCATATTCAGAAGACCAGAATGACAGGCACTCCAAGCATGAAACTACTATTACAAATTACCATCTGCAGTGCAGCTGCTTAGTTCACAGGTATCAGTATATATGGTTAGTCAAGGTGAGAATCTTTCCAATTAACTCTTAGATTAAAAAATCTTCTGAAGGTTCTCATGATCATTGCCTTGCCCATCTTCTACATATAACTGTATGGCTTGACTTATTCATGTTTCCTAGCTCTTCACCACATTTCTTCTTCATGGTGCCAATCCTCCTCTTCCTACCTGAGCTCCAGTAGCTTTTGTTTTTGCACCTCTTGGTTATCCACTCATCAATTCTCTGAAGATCTTGGCATCTCATCAAATTCTGCCTCATCAGCATAACCTGGTGCTCATGGCAAGCAGCCTCCATCTCCATCTCCAGCTTCTCATGGGCTTCTTGATGTTGTGGTCCATTTGATCCCTCTGCTGCTTCTCCATCTCAATAACTGCCTTCCAGTGCATGGCATACTCATATTCAGAGGAGCCAAGCTGTGCAAATCGAGGTGGCTGCCCTTGCTTCTTGTGAAATTGCTGGTTCTTCATAACAAGTTTTTCTGGAAGTCCTTCTTTGTCATCGAACTGGTCCATAGGCTCACTGTTACAGGCTGAGGAAATGTGGTTAGTAGGAAAGACCCTTCACTGCATCTGTCCAGAGCTTTCCACACAGCTGGCTTCCATTTCAACAATGCTTTTTCCTGAGGGTCTTCCTCGATCATCTCCATTGACTACTGCGCTTTCCACCTGGCCAAACAATGAAAAGACTTCTTCCAGTAGTTCATTGGACACGTACTGAGGAAGGTTGCAGACTATAAGGGATGCACTATGGCAGGCAAAGCACACACACACAGTTGTCTTTCATGGAGAGGCATAATATCCAGCTCCACTTTTGCAAACTCTGCAAGTGTTAGTGTTTCCAAACAGATAAAGCCAAAGTCTTTATCCTTATGAATGAAAACTTCTGCTTTCCCATATTTCTCAGTTTCCTCATTTCTTTTTCAGTGATATCAGGGGGAAGATTGCCCACAAAGAGGTAGCTATGTTGGGTAAATGCCTTCTCTCCGGTTTCCTAAAATTCTTCAGGTTGATAGTCAAACCTTCATTTTGGCTACTGGCCTGTTGCCCATTTACAGGTATTGGTGGCAGTGGAAGTGGCTGCTGCTGCTGTTGCTGCTGTTGTTCTTGTTGCTGCTGATGCTGCTGGTGGTGGTGATGCTGATGCTGCTTATGGTTCTGCTTCTCCAAGTTAAATGTCTTATTGCTCTGCATTTTTATACCCTAAATTTGATTGAAGACAGAAAAGTGCCTCAAGTACTCACTTCAACTTTGCCAATACCAACAGTCCTCTCCACAGAGTAATGGTGACACTACCTAGGCTCCACCACCCCCTGAAGCTTGAATTCTTAATGGTTGTCTGTGCCAAAGTATTTGCCAAGGTTTTACTGTAACAACAAAACCAACAAAGATATTCATTGCTGATTTGTGGACCCATTGAGGGATATTTCAGCTCCTGGATAACAGCTTGACCAGATTTAAGGGAAATACTATTTCCTTTCCAGAGGGGATAGTCTCTGTTTCTGTATCTTTCTCTTTCTCTTTCTCTTTCTCTTTCTCTTTCTCTTTCTCTTTCTCTTTCTCTTTCTCTTTCTCTTTCTTTTTCTCCTTCTCATCCTCCTCCTCCTTCTCCTTCTCCTTCTCCTTCTCCTTCTCCTTCTGCTTCTGCTTCTTCTTCTTTTTCCT